AGATAATGTTATTAATTTGATGTATACCAAGTTTTGCGACGATCGTCTGATTCGTTTATAAATAAAAAATTAAATAAAAGCTCGACCGAAACGCAACGGCAACGTCGCAAGTGGCGGGAAATTCAAAATGTTCCAGGATGTTGATCAGTAAATATCTCAATATTATTGTAGATATTTATGCATTCACGCATAAAATACAAGCTTACGTGTGTGCGTGAGTGTATGTACAGAACGCCCACCCCTTCCCATAAAAAACAATAAATGTTAATAACACGCTATTTATTTTTTTTTTTTAATTTCAAATTTATTATTTCTTCTTAAGATACAATTTTTTTGCACATTACAAAATCACATGCTCATAGTTTGAATCACTCATCTTAGAAATCATCCTACTTATCTGACATCCCATGCTGTATGAGACTTGTCAAGTCATTTAAAAATTCAAGTATTTTATTTACACTGGTAGCTCTTTTGATTAAAGGGCTTTGCCCATTTATTAGAAACGATCTTAAACCATCATTACCTTCCATAAATTTATCAACAATAATATTAAAATCTACTTTATTTTGACTTAGATTTTTAATCACTGTTTTGGGAATGATAGACGACATGGGGGAAAAAGTTGGCGAATACATTTTTTCATCAGAAATTCTTTGAATTTTCGCAAGAACATCTTTTACGGAAAACACGTTCGTTGAAATATCATCCCATGAAAGATATGTAGCGGTTAATTTTTCTAATAAATCAATATCAACTATTGCATTATGAGCGTTTTCAACAGACAATGTCAATAAGTCTTTTCCAAGATCTGAAAGCTTATGATTTTTCCTATTCGGAAAATGTAACAAATACTTACAGCTTTATCACAAAAACATTGATACACGAACGCTGTCGTAACCGACGCAGCACGCAGCAGACGAGCAGACAGTGTAGAGTGTGCAGAGACACCTGATGCGTGTACATGAACACTCACACATTTAAGACCCGTACGAAGTTGCCAAATCTTCATTCATCGCTGGTTTCCCCTCACCGCGCAAATGTTTCCCCCCGCTAACACTACCAAACGTCCTTAAGTTTAGACTCCGTCAAAAATGATTAAGATTTTTTTCTGGGGTTTTTTCGATGGGTTAAGTACTAAGGATGCCGAAAATCACGTATCCGATTTTGAAATAAAGCGCTGCTGGTATTCATCCTCACAGCGAATACCTATAATCTTACTACAATATAATATTACATAATACGCAACTATTATTTAAAGACACAAATTTATCAAAAAAATTAATATGCAAACAAAATTTATAAAATGTGGCTTACGCAGATACAAAGTGCTTTTGAGATATGTACTACTAACATTGAAAAGTTATCCAGACCATCTGCATAAGTACGATTTGGTCCTTATAATAAACATTGAAAATTTTTTTTCTATGATCTTCGAGTAAGGCAGTTTCGATCAAACTAAATATAAAAAATTATACCGTGATTTGCGTAAAGCTCAGTACAATTATTGTTTTATTTTAAATTATTCAAATTCCAACTTAGCATGGTAAAGGAGCTTGCGACGGTATTGGTGGGTGTGTAAAAAGGAGTGCGTACCGTGCAAGCTTGCAAGATATTACAATCATCACAAAATAAAAAATGTATGGCTGGGTATCTAATTATTTTTAAAAAAAATCGAGTTCGGTTTTTGCTCTAAAAAAGATTACGAAGATCATAAAGATAAATTGGTACAACGCTTTTCTACAGCTAAAACCATCAAAGGCACTCGGAAATATCATGGTTATAAGCCATTCGATATTAATAATTTAGAGTATCAGATTATTTCGAATCAGGTTAAAAGTATTGTGTTAAAAGTTGTAAATAATTTTGTTATTTTTTATTTGTATTGTAAATATTAAGAAAATATACACTAGTTAAATAGAAAGTGAAATAGACGTAAAATAATTTGCAGAAAATTTTTTTTCATCCGTAATATGTATCAAATTCGCTTCTAACTAATTCTATATCATGTATTGTAAATATTAAGAAAAAATACACTAGTTAAATAGAAAGTGAAATAGACGTAAAATAATTTGCAGAAAATTTTTTTTCATCCGTAAAATATAGCATCTCGCGTAATTAGAAATATTTTNTAAATTACAAATTATACGTTGTACTATGCAAAAACGAGTGGACTAGCAGTCACAGGTACGCGGGAAGTTACGATCGTGCGAGCACGCTAGCGTTTCAATGCTAACAACTTTTTGTCTATTTAAGTGCTCAAAAAGTTTATTTCAGATAAGAATAGCTTATGAAATTACGAATAAGTTGAAAAAAAAAGATTTTTATACCGATTGCCGAAATCACTTGAAACTTCACTAGTTATTAATTGATTTGTTATTACCATTATGAATTTTTTTCAAGAAATTTTTTAAGGGTTTTATTAACTGTGCATTAATGAAAATTCGTTTAAATTTTTGTCTAGTTTCATCAATTTGCTCTCGAGATATGGCTATTCAAACAAAAAGTCAAACAAAAGTTGAATTGTTTATAACATTGATAAAAAGTCAAATTTCAAAAAAATAAAAAATACATATTTTTGTATTATGTACGTGAACAAAATCATCCAAGATTCAACTTAATTCAGACAACTTGGTTTTGACTGGCCCACTTCAGAAAATCTGACTCATTACACAAGTATTTACAATGGTGGAATTACCAAACCTGTTCTCCAGCCCAAGCAAGTAAAAAGTTTGGTACGTAAGCACACGATCTTTTAAAAACTAGTAGAGCCAAACAATAACAAAAACAATAAGATGTTCCTAATACTAAGCAATGATGTAATGCTTATATCGGTCCTATGTACAAAACTTATTACTTTTCTGAAAATAATTGTACACAATATAATATGAATTTTGAGACATTTCGATACTAGTTTATGTAACACGATTTTGCAGTTCCAAATTTTCTATAAGTTCCTAATCATAGGTCTTATTAACCTGCTATATATACCATCTGCAAAATTTTTTTATTTTGTATCAGTTTAATTGTATATAATAAAAAAACAAACTGTGTAGTTATAAAGTACTCAAAGTTAAACCAGTGAAGGCTCAAATCATTAAATAATTTTCTTGAGAACGCGGATGATTGCGATCAAAAATTTTTGTGAAACTAATTTAATTTTTATGATGTGTACGATACGGTCAAGGCGGTAAGGTTTCTTATTACACCAATCAAGGTTAATTAGTTAATATACTAAAAAAAAAATTAAAATGTAAATCTACAGTGGAAAAGGGTTATCTATTGTTCCGATAGATATTTATTAATCCAACTTATCTCACTATTTATTGGAAAAGTGTACCAGAGTTTTAAAGTTATATGGTGATAACGCAGTTTTAATTCCTTAAGGTCAAATCAACGTGAAAGTTGACTATTTAGGCAGGAAGGCTAAATTTACATTTGTTAGAGTAAATGAAAAATAAAAGTCATGTTCACTAAGTAGATATGTTATGGAGAAATTAAGAATATTTGTAGATAGATTAAAAGATGTTCAAATTTTTAAATTAGGTTTTAATAAGCTGATTGAAAAACATGTTCATCATTTTGATAGAAAGTAGGGCAAATATATGGGAGAAAAAATTCAAAAAAAGTTGAAAGAATAAGTTAGGCCAATTTTTAAAAACCATGCGCAATCTTTTTCGCTTTTTAAAACAAAGTAGAGCAAGAACTTAACGAATTGGAAAAAAATATTTGTGCTGATTTTGAAGACTAATAAGGACATTAATAAGTATTTAGAAGATTTTAATTATTCGATTCCTAGAGTTGAAGAGATGTCTGCTGTGTTATAAAACCAACTTGAACTAACCAAGGACACAAAAAAAATTGTTAACGCGGAGTACGTACCGAGGCGTGTACTTTATGAATAGGTTACCATTCGGCAATAAGCCAGCCTGATGTATCTTTCTACAAATGATGGGAAAAATTGTACAGGGTGTGCTTGGTTGTAAAAATTGTTTCAATGATATTATTCTTACAGGCAAAGATAAAGCCGATCATTTAAACAATTAAGAATTAGTTTTGAACAGGCTACAATCACTATGCATTAAATTAAAATTAGGTTAATTTAAATTGATAAGAAAGAGTATTAAGTACCTAGTTCACATGATGTATGGAGAAAACATTCATAAAAATTCAAATAAGAGAGAAGCTGTTGTAAATACATAAAGGAAGCATGATGAATCACTGTGCGAAGTTTATACCAAATTTAGCAACGATAATGAATCCATTGTATAAATTATTACAAAAAGATTCCGAGTTTGTATGGTTAAATAATGCCAGAAGGCTTTTGAAATATTGAAAAATGAATTATTTCCTGACAGTGTCTTCGTTTATTTCAATCCAAATCTACAGTTAAAACTTATCTGTGATGCATCTGATGTAGTTATAGGTACAAGTTCATTGCATGTATATAAAATTGGTGACATCCAACCAATTATTTTTTCATCTAGAACGCTCTTGAAAACAGGAATGAATTATTGTGTCAAGAGGCGATGGTAAATAATTAGGCTGATAATAAATTTCATTAATGTCATCAATACCTTAAGGAAAATTATTTTATCTAAGAATCCGATTACAAGTCATTACTAGCATTGTTTGAAGAAAAAAAAGGAATTCTCTAGATGTCAGCAGGGAGACTGCAAAAATGGGCTTGTTTTTAAAGCAATTTTAATTATTCGTTACAGCGAACGAAAGATGGTTGGACAGACAGTTATTGCGTTTACCTTTAAAAAATGATAGTTGTATAAACGAAGTCAAATTTGATTATTTTAATAACAAAACTTAAAAATATTAATTAAAATGTTGACTATTCATCAAGTTTAAACGTTAATGAGTAAGCAAAACGCATAGTCAGAAGACCAGATCATTACCAGTAACGTACCTATTATGAAATAGGTGACTTTTAAGATTTTCTTTTACTTTGCATTGCTCAACATGGATCATACATAAATTTGTTTTTATCTTACCAGTTCAAGTGTGCACAAAGAATTCTTCGGTTCACCTTGATATAAAAAAAGGTTCGCCTTCAACCATAATAGTCTAACTAAAAATTTAATATTTTTTTGGTCCTGTACATCCATCCAGGTATTATGAAAAAGTACACAGCCTAAGTCTGCCGCAGGTAAGCCAATTCCTGTTGTGTTTAAGCTACAATTATAAAAGTATAAAAGATTTTTATATAAACACCAAATCTTACTCCAAAAAAAAACACTTGAGTTAAGAAAAAATTGTTTTCTTACGTGAAATGTGGTGAGGCCAAGTTGTTAGTAAATAACCATTTGTCAGTATAAAGCTCACAAAATAATAAGATTGTATGAAAACTGATTTTGAGTACATTATTACTAACACACTCAGAATATGTTGCGGAAACCGGAACGTGTTGCCTACAAATGACAATAATAGATATCAAATATACAATTAAAAAATAAACACAATCTTTATTTCACGTTACATTTTTAACTTCTCACCTTACGATTAAATACAGTTGAATAAATATACTAGATAAATCATCAGGCCATTTTAAACTCCATTTTGGGGATAACGATTCAAGAAAATGCAAAATAAGTGTTACTATATTCAGTTTTTCAGTACGTCTTTTTAAAAAATTATCAACGTCCAACATTTCCTGTTTTGATTGAAAATATTTAACAGGAGATCTGAAATAAAATTAAATGTAATGATTTTCAAAAATCAATGTAATGATTTTTGTTACATAATAAACAATAAAGTATTGAATTATTTGGCTACGTTTTACTTTAAATGATGTTTCAATGTAAAAAAATAATAATTGAAAGCTTATGAGACTACTGTTATTAAATTTTTTAAAATAAAAACTATATGGAAACAATCTAGGAAGTGCCAAGAATCAGTATGCAAAATTTAAGCAAAATCGGTTAAATAGTTTTCAAGGTTAGCGATTACAACGGTTTTTGCGATTTTGCTCTAAATGTTAGCAAGATAATAACAGATATCTATATGATAAGAATATAAATCTCGAAAAAAACTGAGAAAAATAATTTCTATAACAGTATAATAACCGTTTCGAAAGTTTTAATTGATTGTTTTCAAAAGTGTGCTAACAAATACTTTTAAAAGATTGAGTTTGTGTATAAACATCGTATATCGGGCGATACAAATAGCTAAACGGCGGGATGACATTTCTTACAATATTTCACATTGTTTATTAAATTTGTTAACGATAAAGAATAGATATCTTTCAAAAACCATACATTAAAAAAGTTAGGAACACCTTTAAATAAACAAAAGACATATCGAGTAGTATGCCATTCGAAGATATTGTGAGATTGAACAATTTGGGACATAAATTATTAAAATCAGTTCAAAATTGTTCAAAATATTTGAAATATAACGAAATTAAGCGATTCGTGGTCTGTTGCGACTGTAAATTTACGACCAAAGAAATATGGCCTAAATTGCTCTTTGTCCGCTAAATTGTCTTTGAAATATAACACCGAAAAATCAAAAATTTTACTGTTTTTTTTTCTGTCAAAAACATTTTTGCAGCTATAAAATNAATATTCAAATGGGTATGTTATAATAATAATGATTATTATTATTATTATAATCTATCGACGAAATCGTGTTGTGCGCGAGACAATTTTTTTCTCCCAAGGTACTACAGCCACGTGCCTTGCGAACGAGATACGTTAGTTATACAATGATGAAATACGGTGTGGTATATAATATACCAAGTTTACATAAAGAGAACGAGTTTTTTGTGTCCAGCGACTGTTTATGCAAAAATATGTGTTATTGTTAATTGTATGCATGCGCATATGTGAGTCCTAAACAAAAGAAATACCGAATAAATGTATTTTTGTATTAAAAAAATGTCAGATGTTTAATTAAACCTTATGCAGAGATCATCTGAGAGGGACCAACAGAGATTCGTTTGTTGTTGTTGTTGTAACGTAAGGGTTATGAATTCCCTGATACCATAACAATTTTCGCAATTTTTCATTAACAATGTAGTCTTCATAAGAGTGGAACTTTTTTGAGTACAGCTATTTATGAATATCTCTGTGAAATGTTGAAAAGCCAAGATAATTTTTTTAGTTGGTTTTTACCCCACTGATTTATTTATCAATATTGACATTTAAAATTTGGACAGTAGCGAGTTTCATACTTGAACAATAATATCCTGTATTTTGTTTTATAAAATACTATGTTTTTTCGGTCTTGCTTTAATGTTTATGAACGACCATAAACACTAGTCAAGAAGACATGTTTGTCATTTTTCATTCGAATTTTTTCGATCGAACGACTTCAAATTGACACCTTAAGAAAAAAATTTGGTTGCGATGGGGGATGCTCTGGAAAGCGTTGTGGGTACTCTAAACATGGCTTTGAGTATACAGAACTTTGTTTTTCTAACTGCGGAGAAACCTGTGAGATATTTTTAGAAAAAATTTAGTTGGTGTCATGCTAATAAAAAACGCATTTTTACCAAGTGTTACGTGGGGTTTACGGTGCGGGAATAAATAGTAGGCCGACTTGTGGTTAACTTGTGCTTTATTGCAATTACTTACATTCGAGGAAAGTTGCGCGTGTCCTAATCTCGAGGGGCCCGGTCCTCCCGCGCACGTGTCTCTAGCTGATCTCCTTTTTACTCTGACCCTTGGCTCTCCTTTTCCTATTATTTCTCTCCTTATTCCCGTACCTTTCGGACCCAAATCTTAACTCCAGCTTCATTCATGTGTAAAAATACTTAAGCGATTCGTGGTCTGTTACGACTGTAAATTCACGACCAAAGATATATGGCCTAAATTGCTCTTTGGCGTACACTATTGCCAACAATTCCTTATCGTAGGTTGAGTACCGTGATCCACTGCCTTTCAAGCATCTTGACGCATATTTACAGGGGTGATCCTTACCTATCTCTCCCTGGCTTAAAATTGCTCTGATGGCGTAGTCAGATGCGTCGGTTGTTACGATAAAGGGTTCGTTTATATCTATGGCTATCAATACTGGCTAACTGCAAAAACCTTTTTCAAGTTCCATAAACATTACCTTCATCGAACATCTTCATTATCTTCTTTATTTTTATCTGAATTTTGAGTGTTAAAAAGCCCGATCATTGCTTCGTTCAACCCTTCAGCGTCGTTCCCAGCGATGCTGAATGATTCCGCCCTTTGTCTTGTTTCAGATTCGAAAAGATCTACCTCTGGTACTGGCACGTCAATTTTTTGTCTGTTATTTTTATAATTTCCACATTTTTTTTTGAGTTTTTATTGTCTCCTATAAAATTTCCAAAAAAGATTTTCTTTTTTATGACCCAGCCGACTTCTATGTGACTGCTATTATCTTTTATACGCGGAAATATTATTTTCCTCGACTTCACGGGGATTTTAAAATATTCTGGTTTTAGTAATGGAATTCTGATGCCTTTTAATTCTAAACAATTTTCTTTAGCGCTTATGAGACCATTATATGATTTAAACGCGTCCCAGCCAATTATGTCTTCCATCTCTATCGAAAAGGTATCTGGGACTACATGCAGATTTATTATGATACCGTTAAGAGATATTTTAGTGGTCCCTAACGTGCAGCGTGCTCCATGCGTGACGCCAGTTATTAGGACTTTTTCTCTGCTCTCTATATGCGTGTCTGTAGTGAGATAGCATTCTTATATAATTGATACTTCGGCACCAGTATCCGCCTAAAATTTTGCGCTATATGATTGCAGTTGATTGCTGCTTGATATTACTGATGGTGGCGTTCTTCCAGTACTCGTAATATTTATCCAGCGGATAGATAGGTTCATGTTCTCCTTGATATTTTCTCCATCAGCTAAAGGGCTAGTAGTCATAGGTTCTATTTCAACTCTTCTTTCTTCAAAAATATTTTCAGCCACTCGAGGAGCCTGCTCAGGATATGTTTCTCCGATGTGTGTTTTGTCTGATCCTGTTGGCTCCTTCTCGCCCTTGGCTGCCTCTGTCTTATTCTTACGCTCTATCTCTCTTTCTATTCTCAGGGCCCACTCGGCGCTTGGGGAGCACGACGAACGTCCTGCGAGTTTAAATGTTCCGTACTATGCGTAAATATTTTTCCATCAGGTGCATCATTTGTTCTATTCGGAGATCCTCTGTCGTTATAATTTTCATCCCTATTATAATTTTTGTTATAGTTGTAATTGCCTCTATAATTATTTATTGTAGTTACCGTGCTGATTATTGTAATTGTTGTTGTTATTTCTTGGGTAATCAACGTTTCTGTTGTAGTTGTTACATCTGTTGTGACCCGCATTATTATAGGGGTTCCTTCTATAATCGTTGTTATAGTTTTGGTTATACTTATTAGAGGGGTATTTATAATTATTCCGGTAGTTGAAATTTCTTTCCGTATTTTCCCTGTCGTACGACATTGGCAAAATTAAATTAAAAATAACAATCTACGACTCGGACACGACACTACTTCCTAGTTAACGACAGGCATTGAAAGATAGCGCTGAAAAAGAAGGCATAAAGCAATACACGTACGGGATACAATCGCATTATAACTACAGGGTACCATGCCTTAGTCCAAAAACATTGGGCGGAGCTATTGTAGCCGCGCTAAAAATGGAAAGCGACTTCAGTTTACGTGAGATAATGCCAGAACGAATCGAAGCTCAAATATGCCTAGCGAGAACAGAAACAACAGATACGAACGATCGTGCGCGTACCCAAGAGCAAACAGAAGCATGCGAAATGACAGAAAAAGGTAAAACAGCTGAGGATCATCAATATTGCTTGAATTGCAATGAATACGGGGAGCATGCTACAAAATTATGTATGAAACTGGTAGCAGACGCGACGAATAAGAAAATTCGAAACCCGGACATAAAAGCAAATGACCTACTAGCGCAGACAGCACAAGATAAACAAAATGTAAGAGTTAAAAATTGCGCTAACTGCAAACGCAGGGGCCACGATTTAAGCGAATGTCGCACTCTAGTAAGAGACGTAGAGAGTGGGAGAATAAATAGGAGCTACGGACGAGAACAATTCAACAAGCCAACGGAGGCGCACGCACGCATAGCTATATGCTATCGTACGTAACACAGGTTTTAGGGCTGTAAAAATTTTTAGTACGGAGTAACAAAATAATGAGATTTTTTATTTTTCTGGCATTTTATTCTCATCATATTAAACAATCATGAACCGACTTGAATAATTCAGGTTCCGGATTGTTCGTTCTAACATTATATACAAGTATTTAAACTACATTTCCAATGAAATATTTTTAATGGAAAGAAAACAGAAATATTTCTCCGAAATTAATATTTCTAATGGTTAAATAAATCTAATAAAGTATGTGAAATACTGTAAGAAATCTCATTCAAAACCAGCCTATTATTATATTTAATGATCTAATTAAATGGGGTTAATAGTAACCAAAACTGCTTAAAATCCATCAGTAATAGTGGCAAACTTACACTCTACAACACTTTCATGGATTCTGTGTTAAAAATTGTTGCATTAAAAGTTACAAAAAAATAAAAAATAAAAAAAAAATAAAAGTAAGGCTTACGTCTAATCATAAGATGGCAGACAAATTTAACAAGTGCTAGTAGCTTGACTTTCTCACTAAATGTATTCTTACCTCAAAATTCAGCGTAAGCCTACGAATAAAGCTTGTGAGCCTGAAGTTTATAATAGTGCTATGACAGTATTTATTCACTTTCAGATTCAGAATTCTTCATAATAAAGGATTTTTGCTTGTATTTTGTAAGTCTCTGATCACAGGTAAATAGTTATCAGAACAAGAATACTTTTTAGTAATGGTTACACACACTGTTACATCTAGTTTCAGCTTTATGTATAAATTCATGCTTTACAATTGCCTTTCTCCCCGTTTTCTCCCTCAACGGTACTTTTCGTAGGTATGTTCCAAGCTAATAAGCTATTGTTACTGTATTAATGCAATATGCTATTCAACTATTTGCTTTGAGCTAACGTTAACTAACATTAAAATGCAACTCTCAGAAGCTGCGAAGCGCTTAGATAATAAGAAGCTAATAATCATAATTAACATTAAGGTTATTATTATCATCAAGTGTATGGTAAAAGTATCCAACTTCCTAAAAATTTAAATACTGGCGTATAATACAAATTCTTTTCTACTGTTGCTCTTACTAAATTTACATTATTTATAAGTTCTCACATAAAAAAAGACACAATGCACGTCCCAAACGGAAATTGTCAGTAGGCGATCAGTAGGGCCTACTTAGGCTGCTTCTCTTGCCAACTGAGGTCCTACGTTGGCAGCGTCAGGCGTGGTTTGGTAGGTGCTAAGTAGGCTGCCTTCATTGACGTTACATAACCACCTATCAATCGATAAATATAGATATGTACATATGAGAATACACATTATATTTTAATTAAACAAAAGTCATGCTCCATTTCAAACGAATCATACTTAATTTTTACAAAAATTTTCTATTACAGCATTGTTAATCACGTGTAGTTACAAAAATATAACCCTAAGATAAATAGAAATTTTTTATAAATGATTATATAAATGTAACCTTAAATATATCTTATTCACAGTTTATATCAAGTTTACAAAGTGAACATGTGATGCGTGAGTTAATTCTGAGGAACTAATAAATAATAACCAAGAAATGAATACAAATGCTCACACTGCAGTTTACTTTTCTATCATACAAAAACATATTGATTCAATTAAATGACAGATAAACTTGACTTGACAGCAGACATCTAAATGACAGTGTACAAGCTGTTGGATGTTAAGTTTTATAATCTTAGTACGGTTTTGAAATAGTTTTTATTAAAATTTTTTGAAGCAACAATTATTATTTCTAATTCAGTACTTTGAGAAACTTTGTTTAGTTGACAACAAATTTAATGGCTACTGATTTTTTCAGTCTCATATGTATAAGAATACTCATTAATCCTTTGTATACGACTCAATTAAAGACACTTGTAGCTTGTGTACCTGTGTATAATTTTACGCTACAGTTTACACTGCAACTGTAGCTAATACAACTGTATATACTATTCGAGAAGTAAGATAAAATTAGGTTATGTAGCCTGCCTAATGAGTACCTCACGCACGCCCCCCTGATGCGCCTACGTGTGCCCTCAGTAGGCTGCCTAAGTAGGGCCTCACGAACTAGAGAGGCAACCGACTTTCATTTCTGTTCGGGATTGTACTGGAGCTTTTACTATATATACTTTTATTTAAATAAACAAGAATTTTGGTAATATGTACCTGACACCAATAGTTTATAGTTTGTGCTGTTACATTGATGAACTAACATTTAATGTTCAAATTCAATTTTCCATAAACACCAATCTGTGAAAGATCTAAAATGAGACATCAAAAATTATTTGTCTAGCTCCTGATGGTTGCGTTCGAATGAATCGTAGTCGTACCCCAAACGTATCTTAACCATATTCTCGACTGTAACGCCATCTCTGCAAGTATCAGATATTTAATATCATTTTATCTATTACCTATCGGTTTGTATACAATGTATGTACCTAAATCAAAATTACAAAGAAGAAAATGCTTAACCTGCACAGTGTTTTGATTATAACTTTTTTACATCTAAATGGCTCCTCAGCTCTTTGTTCTTATCCATTATTTGTCACGTGGAAAAAAGTAACGTATTCCCTACGTTACACCATTAAATCATCTACTTAAAAGTGCACAATTTTATGACACAGGAGTTTAAAACATGGACAGTAAATGTGAGTAATTTGTATTGTAGTAAGAACTAACGTAAACAAAACCGTCAAAATCAAAAATTAAACAGTTTGTATTCCATCTACAATTTTGATTTAGGTACATACATTGTATGTTTGTATACATGCCAACAGATGAGATGATATTAAGTATGTGATACTTGCAGAGATCGCGTTACAGTCGAGAATACGATTGGAACACAATTGGGATACGAATACGATTAATTCGAACGCAACCGATAAAACTATAAAATATATGAATTGAAATGTAATATTTTGTAGTTATTATACAAAAATTTTACTGACAGAATATCAGAAGAACAATCCTGCCATATCGTGTTATTTCTATTGATATTAATGTAGTACGAAAAAAGGGGTAAGGAAATAACAATCGACACCATGTGTATAAGAGTGGAAATTAACATTTTTTTGCGTCGTATTTTGCTTTATCGAAAGATATTGCTTTTTTATATCCCAAAACATGGGCGAAAATCTGAAAAAAAAATTTTTGAGTCGACTTATACGTGTCTCAATGAAAAATTTTTTCTTATGGTACTTGCGTGTTAAAAGTGATATAAATTATTTATTCCCTACGAAGACCATGAAAAACACTGAAGTGCAAGTCCATATTATGTACTTTCATATATTTTTTCTTCTAAGTATAATTACACTATTACTTTTAACTAAATGTTGTATCGACTGAAAACGTCAATGAGTAAAAACTCGCAAAAAAATGCGATAATGGTTGATGTACCAATAATATTGATAATAAAAACCATGAAAACCATAAAAAATGTAGTTTTAAAAACACGAATTCCTATGTAATTATTTTCTTCTGAATCCGATGTTATGATCAGTTTTTAAGACAGCATTGACTGAAAAGATATGTAAATGAAAAAACTCGCGAAAAAATGGAATTATGCACTATATACAAATATTTAATATAAAAATCCATTAAAATCATTAATACAGCAGTTCCAAAAGTAGCATAGTTCGTGAGATACTTTTACAATATACATTATCATTTATCAGTTTCATTTTTTTTTTTAATTTCTTTTGAATTACTATAAAAATTTTAATATATTGATAGGTACACATTGACATTTAACGTTCCGTTCAAAATAGTTGAATCAGTATTCTAAAATAAAAGTAAGAAAATTTTGTACCAAACATTACTGTAGTTGTTGATAATTATTCACATGCTATAAGAGCTATTTATTTACTCTTTTATTAACTCTATTGTAATGCCTTATTAAGCAACTTTTCTTGAAAATTTTCTTCCACAATATTTACAAAGTTCATTGGGCTCCGGGTTATGTTCATGTAAATAAGGCCGTAAATATGTTGCTTTTTTAAATTTTCGGTCACAGGTAAACCAACGTATAATTTTACCAAACGTATGCTCTCATACGTGGCGTACACTGTAAGAAATGCTGTAGTAAAATCACTATGCTCAGCATAGGTAAAGTAAAGACCTGTGCTCAGCATGGGGATTTTACCATCGGTTCGTAAAATGTTTTTCCCGCACAGTAAAATTAAATGTCAAGATAGTAATTTTCAGCGAAGCCAAAATCTTCAGAAATTTTTTGCGATCGCGTAGTAATTTTACTATCCCAAGCGTAAAAGTCATATCTTGGATATGAAAAGCACTATTGTACTGTTCATCGTTCCATTTTCACTAAAAGGGTTATGTTACTATTTCGTCACATTACAGACACATCTTCACACACAATTGAGAAACGTGATGATTTGTAGAGATCCGGAATATTTAGCTATTGGTCTACTAAGGTGTATACCCACGATTTCATGAAATGATACATAACCTGAAAAGTGTTTACTTTCTAGAATGCTTTCGCTATATATACAACGTACCTAATACTTGCTGATTACAAATTTGTAAGAGCACTCATGATAAATTTACTTTTAATCCTTATCACAATTATTGATTATTGTGCGAGAGCGCGAAGCACGAATCGTAAATTAGGTAGAAATATACATTTACATTAATGTAGTTAATGCGAGATTCCCTTACAAAAAAATTTTTTTTTTACTTTTTAATTTTTTTTAGTTTCAAAAACATAAAGGCAATATTCACACTTAAGTAAGCTTACTGACATAAAATTATTAAATAAATAGCTGAGATTTGGGATTTTTTTCACTCAATATTTTACACTATAAGAAAACATTTCTACTCATCAATCTTATTACAGAGAGTGCTCTTTTCAAATGATGTATTGTAACATTAAACGCTATAAAAAAAAAAAAAAATTTCAACATAATCTTGAGAGACCATTTTTTTACTACT